AGCCTGGTGTGCAAGGCGCATCTCTTCATGGACATCTATGGCAATTCGCTGCTGCGTCCCAGCTCACATCATTATGTGGCCGCCAAAGCGCGCACCTTGCTCAACATGATCTGCGATGAGGAGCAGCTGCAGCGCCTCGCTCCGATGCTCAATATCGAGTCACTCAAGTACAAGGAGCGCGATGGCCTCGAGATGGCCTTCAGCTACTGGCAGCCGCAGCAGCAGGTCTACGATATACAACGCTACTGGGAGCAGCGCGTGCGCGCTCTGCTGGGGCCGCGCTACGATCATCGTGAGGGCGCCTTCGACTGGGATCTGAGCATGACGCTGAAGAGTCGCGAGGGGCAGCAGATATGCTCGCAGGAGTACCGCTATTGGCGGGAATCGGGCGTGGCCTTCGTCTTTCCCGAGTACGAGCACTGCAAGCCGAACAAGACACTGGCTGCGGGCCTCGTGCGCAATGGACGCACCTTTCTGCATCGTGGCTACGTGGGTGACATACAGACGGGTCCGTTTTGCGGTTTTGGACTGCGCAGCTCGGAGGAGCGGCTGCACAACTCGGTGCATGGCGACAACGACTATCGAGCCACAGACATAACCGAGCGCAATCTGCTCGAGTTCTTTCACGAGCTGCAAACGCAAACAGTCTACGAGCATGACAAAGACATCTCGAGGCGCTATGGCTCAACGAAGCTGCTGATGACGCCGCTACTCACCCACAACGAATGCGACGCCAACGAGGGGCAGCTGAGCTATGACAAGCCCTGGTTGCCAGTGCCCGATGTCGAAGTGCACTTCATCTCGCCCATGGAGATAAGGGAGCTGCAGAGGGGCGCACCTCGTTGGCAGAACCACTTCGATGTCGCCTTCGTTGCCTACAACTATTATACTTTCCTGAGCAAAGAGTTCTTTGGGGCACTGCGTGAACAATCGCTGTTTGTGCTCGAGACGAAACTGTTGACTGTCGAGCGCACCGAGCACATCAAAAAGTTCGAGGCGACGGCTAAGGAGCTGTTCAAGTCGGCGGGTCTGCGACCTTGCATCAACTATCAGGCTATCAATGCCAAAAATATGCAATTGAGATATAAGAAGACGCCAGGCGGAGCTGGCGACGACGTGGACGAGTTTCCAGAGGAGCCAGAGGAAGTCAAGAAGGACTTTGATGAAATGGGAGATTATGAGACTAGAAAACAAATAGAAGAGATGCAAGACGAACGAACAGTGCAATCAAATGAAAAGGAAAAGACAAAGCTGGAGGAAATCCAAGACGAGCCACAAAGGAAGGGCTTAATAATAGAAGAAATAATAGATAAAATTCAAGAAGTTCCTAAAAAGGAAATTGAGAAGAACGAGACGGAAACAAAACGGAAAATAATTGAGCTAACTAAAGACCATTCGATGAAAGGCAATGCAAAGCAAATTGATGAGCTGAAATACAGGACTGAGAAGCTGGAGGAAATCCAAGACGAGCCACACAGGAAGGGATTAATAATAGAAGAAATAATAGATAAAATTCAAGAAATTCCCAGGAAGGAAGCAAATGAAAAAGAGACGGCAATACAAGAGATTAAGAAAGGCCAGCAAATTGAGCTAATTATAGACAATTCACTCAAAGAAGAATATGAGACTGAGAAACTGGATGTGCAATATAGAGTAAAGGAAGAGGGACTATTGATTCGCGAAATAACAAATGAGGCTACAAAACTAACGGTTCAAGGTAAAGATAAACAGGAACCAAAGGAGCTCGACTCGTCCCAACAGTCGGATGGTAGTGAAATGGAATTCCATGACGCTTTATCAGGGGAGCCAGTCGATGATTAATTATATTTGGATTTCAGCTACCTCTTTTAATAAATTGTTCAATAAAATTAGCATCGTAAAATCTAGATATTTACTAGTTTCTTTTTGTTGTTTTCCTTTTGCCGGACGCCCACTTCTCTAAATCAAATTCCAATCCTTCCTTGTGTTGGCGCAGTTTTTGAGGCGTGGAAAAGCTCGTAGATTCATTGCGATTGTTTTCATACTTGAGCAAGTGATCGATGCGCACGTTGAGCTGGTTGGCGCGTTTATTGAATGTCTGGCGACGTTCGTATTGCTCTGCGCCCAGATCGATGACCTTGCGCCGCGGCACATGCTGCAGTGCCGTATCCCAGTCTCCGGTTTTCTTCAGATCCAGCATAATATTTATCATTTGATTGAGGGTAAGCGATTTACCCGACCCGGATCCCCATTGGAGGTATCGGTCTAAAGGCAAACGTGCCATGCGCAACCCCAAACGTTTGGCCTTCGCCAGCGAAAGCGGCTCATTGTTCACGGTGTCCACCATGGCACCGATTATGTAAATATCATCCGGATTGTAGGTAACCAGATCCTCGCGACAATGGGGCGTTAGGTATACCAGCTGATTTTTTGGAAAGAGCTCTGTGAAGCACTTGGTATGCACATTCATGGGAAACTCTGGATTAAGCATTGTAGGTATGAAACGCTGAAGGCCCTGCATGCATTTTCCCTCTAAGTTAGCATTGCAGAAGTGCAGATCAAAGGGCTCGTCATTCGCGCGATTCTCTGCAAAGCTGAGCATCAATTGCTTGGCAGCATTCGAGCATTCTCGATTGTTCATGTACGTATCGTAGGAGCAGTCGAGCACCATTTTCGGGGCGAACTGCATGGCCCGTGTCAAGCGATTATTCTGCCAATGATTGATAGTTGTGTCGTAGATCCGCAGAAACATGGACGTATGGCCCAGGCCATAGATGATGTGTGTGTTTTCCTCGCGCTCCTTGCGCAGGTCAGCCAAACGGCGTTCTGTGTCTTCGGCTCGCTGCTCCTTCTTACGTTTCTCTGATGCCTTTTTCATTTCGATTTGCCAAAGAAACGCATAGTACTTGATGCGTGCCGATTTCGTTGGCAAGGTCAGTATATGGGCCCAGTGATGATCCTTGAAGAATTCTAGGCCCGGCACACGGCGTCCCTCCTGATGCGCTATGTCTGCCTCCAGCTGCAATACCTTCAGCCGCTTGTCCCGTTGTTCCGCTGTCTCAGTTGTTGTATTGTCTGTCAGGGCTGTAGGCATGGATTGTGCGAAGGGATTCACATATTTCTTACTGGCCGGCTCCAGATCTGATTCTCCCAAGGCGGCATTTTCATTGGCCTTTGTTGTGAACGGGGCACAGAGGCAGCGCCTCGCTTTAATTCGAGTGGCACCATTCAACAGTAATTTGGCCGTTCGCCATTGCACAACATTTTTTAGCATGCTTTAATCAGGTATTTACAAAATATACAGCGCTGGATGAAAAATTACAAGCACGCGGAACTTAAATAACTGTAACAGCTGAGCTGCATTGCTGCCAAACATCGCAAGCTAAACGATGATCTATCGATATGTGTCAATGTTTGCGTTGCGCTGCGAATGGCAACCTTATAGAAGAAGCTTCAATTGCCGACAATTTTTGCGCTTGTTTCGATTGGAAAACGTGTGTAAAAGTTGTAAAACATATTTTAAGCAGACGAAAACGTTTAAATATTTGTCGCGATGGCTTTGGTTTGTGCACGTAAGTTTGAGCTGCTTGTATAGTCACTACCATTGAAACGAATAAACGTTTTCATTTACAGTTACAAACGAGGTACCCGAAACGCCTGTAATCTCGCCGCACTCGGGCGCCGTTTTCGAAAGACGCGTCATTGAGAAGTATATACTGGAGAACGGCTGCGATCCCATCAATGGCAAGGAATTGAAGCAAGAGGAACTCATTGAAATCAAGACGCCAGCCGTCGTGAAGCCAAAGCCACCAAGTGCTACGAGTATACCGGCAACGCTGAAAACCATGCAGGATGAGTGGGATGCTCTGATGATACACTCGTTCACACAGCGTCAGCAGTTGCAGACGACACGCCAGGAGCTCTCACATGCGCTCTATCAGCATGATGCCGCCTGTCGTGTTATTGCGCGCCTTAAAAAGGAGCTAACTGCAGCGCGCGAGGCGCTGGCCACTCTGAAACCTCAAGCTGGCATTGTGAATGCTCCATCGATGATTTCGGAACCAGCACTGGCTGCCGAAGCTGGTGCTGGCGGTGCTCATCAAATGGAGCAGGCCGGCATGAGTGCCGAAGTCATACAGAAACTGCAGGACAAGGCTACAGTGTTGACACAGGAGCGCAAGAAACGTGGACGCACTGTGCCCGAGGAGTTGGTAACACCGGATCAAGTGAAGAACTTCCTGACCGTTGCGTCGCATCCTGGCCTACACTCGGCTTCAGTGCCTGGTATACTGGCTCTGGACATCAACAGCGCTGATCACAGCAAGATTTTGACTGGCGGCAATGATAAGAATGCTACCGTATTCAACAAGGACACGGAACAAGTTGTGGCTATACTGAAAGGTCATACCAAAAAGATCACCAAGGTCATCTACCATCCGAATGAGGATACTGTCATCACCGGCTCACCAGACATGAACATACGCATTTGGCATGTCCCCACCTCGCAGACGCAGCTCCTGTTGCGCTGCCATGAGGGACCCGTCACTGGCCTCTCACTGCATCCCACTGGCGACTATTTGCTGTCCACCTCGTCGGACAAGCACTGGGCCTTCTCAGACATACGCACTGGACGACTTCTCACGAAGGTCATCGACACGGCTGAGGTGGGCCTGACCACGGCTCAATTTCATCCTGATGGCTTGATCTTTGGCACAGGCACCGTTGACTCGCAGGTTAAAATCTGGGATCTGAAGGAGCAAAGCAATGTAGCCAATTTCCCTGGCCATACCGGACCCATCTCGGGTATATCCTTCTCGGAGAACGGCTACTATCTGGCCACAGCTGCTGACGATGCTTGCGTCAAGCTCTGGGATTTGCGTAAACTAAAGAACTTCAAGACCATACAACTGGACGATGGCTATGAGGTTAAGGACCTGTGCTTCGATCAAAGCGGCACATATCTAGCCATTGCCGGCACGGATGTTAGGTGAGCGCTTAAACTTTATTTATAAGACTTTATATGGAAATATGTGGTTTACATATGCCATGGGCGAGTCTTCAAACCTTGTGTTTGTTACGCAACGCCTGGCGCAACCGATGATGCTTCTTAAAGTGCTCCATCCAGTTGTGCAGTCTGTTCTGTTTAACCAAAGCACGGCGAGACATCTCCTTTTGCTTGGCAATGCGTCGACGCACAGTCTGCTCCAGGCGACGCAGATCATCTGGCGGCACGGCATCCAGTTTTCGCAGCAGTTCCTGGAAAAGGATTTGAGCTATTTTAGATTGTATTTGAATATTGGGAGACAATTGAAGTTACCAATGCAAATGTTTGTATTTTCTCCACTTTGGCCAGCGTTGTGTCCTGTTCGTCCTTGTAGACAGCGGTAGCTTTTTTGGCCACAGGCGCACGCATGTCCTCCAGTGTGCGCCACTGCTTGGAGGACTTCTGTGGCAGCGTTTTGGGTGGCTCCTTCTTTGGCTGCTGCGCCTCCGGCTCGACTTTGTTTTGCATTTGCTTCAATATAACAGGCACAATGCTATTCAACTTCAAGCTCAGCTTGCTAAAGGAGAGAAAAGAATAAGATATATTCCAGATATAAATTATATTTACTACAAGAACTTACTCCTTGCAGTAGGACTGCTCGAAGTCGGCAAAAAGTTCGTGTGCGCGTTGCTGCAGTGCAGCCACACGTCGCTGCAAAAACTCTGGATCCTTGAGAAACACCACAGCACTTGCGTTACGCTGTTGTGTCTTCTCCTGTAAGACAAGGAATATTAAATCGATATATGTATATCTCTTAGAGATGTAGAACTTACGGCCTTCTCATGAAGTATGCCAACAATATGATTCAGTAGTGCGAGATGCGTAAACCTCCTATTATAATTGGAAACCTTCATGCGATTGCGCTCGTAGCCCCTGATCCATATGTCGGCATTTAAATGATTACGCTTCGCCAAGTAGGGTCGTACCACCAGTTCCATATAATCGTTCACCTGCTTCACTTGCTCCAGCCCAGCTGGATGCCTTTCGCTGATCACCATATTCACTATATGACTGGGCATCGTTAGCTTGCTGTCCGCCTGTTCCGTCTGCTGCTCGACAGTGTCATCAAAGTAGCTAATAAGCTTTAGTAAATACTGAAAGCGTCCAAAGATCTCTTGCACCTCCATTAGCACCCGCTGATGCTGCAGCTTCACCTGATTGAGCTCTTCGGCCACTTTGTTCTCTTTCAACTCCTTAAGCCTATCTTGTGCTTCGCGCATTTTCTTAAATTCAGTGGCCTTCATTTTCATTAGTGCATCCTCGGCAAACTTGCGAAACTCTTCCGATTCCTCGAACAGTTTGTTCTGATATTCCACTTCCCGTTTTTTATCCAAAAACATTTCCTGCGTGGCATAATACATGAACTTGTTTCGCGTTATCTCGCGTAGCAATAAGATGTCACTGTAAGTGGAGGAAGGATTGATTAGAACAGGATATATATATTAATGTAGATATAGATTCACATACGTTTTCATTCGAAACTTTCTGGCTAAACGCTGTAGACCTGCATCCTTGATATAGTCCGGATCTATAGTGGTGACCACGCATGGCGCACGCGGATTGGCAACTTCACCGCGCTGCAAGGAAAAACAAATTAAAAATGATTTCATAAAATTTTCAAATCTCAAGATTTCTTACCGCATTAAAGTCATCAATGCTGAGATTGATGGGCTTTGGCGCATCTGGCTCCAAATAGTCCTCGGGTCGTATATAATCTGCAAATGGGATATATTAGAGAATATATATACCACCATATATACTTACCTTCATATTTGCGATAAATTTTACTCTTAAACTTTTTCATTCTTTAAACTAAGCTACTTAATGACTAAGCAAGTTACTGTAGAAGTTTGTTTACTCTGTTGCTAGGGTGAAATGAAACTCTTATTGATATCGTTTCCCATCTCTTTTGCAGGGTTTACTTGTGCAAACAGTGGCAGGATCTGAAGGTATTCAATGACCACACGGCCCTCGCAACCGGCGTAAGATTTGGCAGGCATGCGCAATATATTGCCTCCACCAGCATGGATCGTACTTTGAAGTTATATGCAATCGAATAATTAAGTTGGACTGTTTAACTCTTAGACATCGGAGCTCCACATAGCCATAAGTTCAACATCTATATAAATTTATTTGTAAACATATTTAACTACTTCCTTTTGTGCGTAAACTTCAATTTCTGCGTAAATAAACCAGACTTCTTTATTTCCGATCCAAAACTGAAAGTTTTAATATTTATAAGCTACAAAACAAGATATACACTTAGGTCTAGTCGAAACCGAGGATATATTCATATATCTACGGTTCACTAGGATGCAGAGATTTGCTTGAGTGGTCTTTCCAAATACGACGCCAATGACATTGTCTTTTGCTTTAGCATACCCAGACCCACATGCTCTTTGGCATAGAGACACAATAGCACACTGGCCACCTGCATGGGTTCAATCAATAGTAAAAAAAATCAAAGTAAGCTGAGGGAGACACCCACCTGTGTGATAGCGACATGCCCACACTCGCAGTCAAGCAGTACAAAGGTTAAACGATCTTCGCGGAATGCATTACGGCCGTGCTTTTCGTAGGCAGACCAAATATTGCTCGCAATGGCTGCAGTAATACGTGCATCCTTATCTCCGTAGCCCGAGTAGGCCAGCAGAGCGCCCTCCTGACTCAGCAGTCTGCAAGAGTTACAAAAAGCTATTAAGCTTCTACAATGAGTATTTTACTGTACTTACAGGGTATTCTCTACGCCACCAGTATTAGCTTGACTTAAAACTTGCGTTAAAGCTTTAGGTTTTAGCATTTTAAATCTATTTATCTATCAAGCAAGCAAACAATTTACGCCTTGAAAAATTTAACATTCACCGTAAACGCGAACACAACATATGTTTGGTTAACAGTTTGGCGCGGCGTTTAACAGCATGCAAAGATTTAAATAACATTAATTGAAATATGAACTATGAGATATTCCAAGCTCATTTATTTCATTTGAAAATATTAAACTGCATATTACAGATTATTATCAAAGTAGTAAATTACTTGAAATTTAATAAGTGTACATTTAACTTATGAAATAAACTATTTATTCTCACAGCTTAGACATTCACCATAAATGATGACATAACATATGTTCTGTTAACAGAATGGCCCGGTGTTTAACAACGCGCAAATATTTAAACAGGAAAAAAACAAAACCAAAACAAATAATTCTGTTTCATAAATAACAAGTTGCCAGCTTTCATTCATGTGGAGAACATCGTTTCTAGTTATTCATATGACAGATTACTTGCTGTCCTCTTGAAAGCCCTATATTGTGACATCAAAGGTTTTGATAAACCATACTTATTGGCGAGCATCGCTCCCGCTTGTTAAAATGAGAGATTGCTTGACTTTAAAGTTGCACTTATAAGCCCCCCTATAATAATATGACGTCATATGTTGTGTTTGATAAATGAGGTCACGGCCTTTTTGCGCAGTTCAGAGTGTGTGTGCACTCAATACGAAGAGCAGCAGCAACAGTTTGGGTTATCAACCACCACCACCAGCAAGTCATATCTTCTTGAATGCCAATGCTTACCTGCTTTACCCTCCTTCTTTTGTTTTTAGGGTGCATTTGGCAATGCGCATGATTCAGCCTTTAGAGGACTCAATGCAGGCGCCGAATTCATGAATTGATGTCGTCACAAACTAAGTGGGTCAGCAGCGACGCAATAGATTGCAAGGGGTTGGAGAAAGGGGAGGGCAAACTACATGCGTTGCGATTAAGACGCCATAAATTATATTTTGTTACATTAAAAACGTTTATTAACTTAGAATGAACTCAAATCGTAGCCAAGTGCGGCTATAATATAAATATATATATAGATTTGTATATATATTTTATAATATCGAGCAAACTTTGTTTAAATGTTGGGCCAAGGCGCCGCAATAAAGACGAAAACCTTAAATATTAAATTAAATATAACTATATATCTAAATATTATGTACACTTTAACAAAAAATACATTGGAAGTATGCAAATTGCTTAATTGGATAGTTTCTAGAGAACATTTGCTAAAAAGCTCTCTATGATCTAATTGCCTCTTGGCACATACTTCCTCTATATATGAGATTGTTTGGTGTAGCCTTCAGGGGAAGTGGGCGGTGCAGGTGTGTTGCTTGGTGTGTGTTTGTGTGTGTGAGTGAGAGGAGCAGAGAAATACTTGAAGGAATATACTGCTATTATATATTTATAGAGTTTAAGTAAATGTTTATAGGGTATTAAATTGATTTGTGTGCGCTGGACTCTTTGTTTTATTTTGGTTTGTTATTCCGGTTATTGTTCGTAAGACTTCTCCCATCGAAATTCGCCTCCTGCCTAAACTAAACTATATTTACGTCTTATTTACATGCTAAATAAAACATGTTTCGCCTTTCCACTCGACTCTACGAAATATCAAAATACACATTATGTATATATAAATATAAATGTTTTTTTTTTTTCGATCACAGCGCGCGCTCACAAAACTAAAAATATTTTTTTCTTTTCTTTTTCAACTTGCATTTGTTTTTGATTAGACTTGAACCAAAAAACGAAACATAACTCCACCACAGGGACAATCACTCACGCCATAATCTCAATTCACAACTTTATTTTGTTTGGGCAGGGATTGGGATTTAAAGCTCAATTGCTGAAGCTAGCCGATTACTGCATTTGGGATCGGGCGCGTTTCGGAATTGAGTACAACGATGTCATTATAGTCGAGCCTGGTTCACCCTTCTCTGTTAGGACGCGTTGCGGCGGCAGGCGTTCCGTAAAACTTTTGGGTATGCCAGCACTTAGCAGAGTCTTGCGGTCATACAGATCCAAATTATCATTGTAGTAGGTGATGGCATCCCAGCAGATTTCACTTAACTTTGGTATGGTCATCCACATCTTGTAGAGATCATTGCGACGCTTCAGTGTCTCCTTATCGTTGTACTCGATGCCGCCAAAGATGTACATGCAGCCGTTGCCCGAATGGGCTGCCGAGTGGAAATACAGCGCACGGGGCAAACTGGCCGTCTGTATGATGGTCCACTGTTTGGTGCGCAAGTTCAGCTTCCAGATATCAGAGAAATAGGTCGAAAAGTCGCCCTAAGCATAAGGAGATATGGAGAGAGATTAGTTATTGTTAAATTTGAGTGCTTTAACGTTTTCGTACCTGCAAGCCACCAGTGATAAAGGCCTCAATGTCGCCATTGGATGACTGGTGCTGCACACAGGAGAAGCATTTGCGGGGTCTCGGGTAGCCCTTATCGTTTTCGCTCCATGCGCCGCTGCTCCGATCCGGCAGCGTATCAAAGTAATCCCATCTATTTGCGTCCAGATTGTAGGCTGGTATACGCTGCAGATCATATACAGAATTCGAGGTGCCGCCGCCGAGCACAAAGATATGCTTGCCATCATAGACGACCTCATGTCGATAGCGTCCCTCCGGATCGTCGCGCATCTCTGGCCGGCAGATGTAGACGTTCTCCCACACCTTGGTGCGCAAATCCAAGCGATAAACATCACAGGAATAATCGAAGCCAGTCGTACCGCCAATGGTATACAAATAATGCTTATGTATGACGATGCCAGGTCCATACTGAGCCGTCGGCAGATCTCCGCTGACTTTTAAGCGTTCGACGCCAACGTTGCCATCCTTCGTGCGGTACACGTAGCAATCATTCGAACACGACTCGCCAAACGGATACCCTGTACCACCATGCGACTGAAAGTAGAGCAAAAATTCCAAATTTAGTTTATCGAAAAAACATTTAAGTCAAAGCGGAAACAAATGTAAAGAGAAACGCACGCCGCTGCGGCTGCTGCTGCATTCAATTAAGAGATAAAGCATGCAACAAAGAAGCTGCATGCTTATCAATAGCTGAGAAGCGAATAGAGGGGCAGCAAAGAGAAGCAACGAGAGTTGGGAACCCTGGAGAGCAGAGGGTGGCGATAAGCCGAAATATGTGTATGCATTATGGTATTACATGAAGGTATCTTTATGCTCTTATGATATACACATATATATACACACATACACATATGTATGTATGCATGTATGTATGTATGTATACAGTCATTGAAAGCGGGTTTCAATGTTATCTGATTAACTTTCTAATTAAAACTAATTGTACACTCGACGTTTGGGCAGTGCAACCAGCATAAAGTCGAGAAAACAAAATCTTAAATGCTGAAGAGTCTACTCGAACAAGCCTCAACAAAAGGGGCCTAATTAATGTCCAAAAGTCTACAATATACTGCCAATACAATGACTAAAGAAATGGGAATGTGTGCAGAGTTCTAAATTTGGAGAGAATCGTTCAATCAACTTACAGCTAACTGCACGCGTTGCATTTCATGCACTATAAAGAGCTTGACCTTCACAGAGCGCGAGAGAGAAGGAGAGAGAGAGAATGGGGAAGTGTGTGATACGCAACCAAAGCGAGTTCGCCTAATGCGTATATTCGCTCTGTAATGACTGTTGCTCATATGTTGTACATATGTATGTATGTATATACATATGTATGTACGTTGAGACATTTTCTTGTAGACATTGCAAGTATTGGTAATATGTATGTAATTCAGATAGATACACAAATATATATAGTTAGGGCTAGGCTTTACTACACATATGTATGTATGTATATTCTTTTTTGCAGAGATTTTCTTAAAGCTCGGACTAGGCAGTCTCTACTGTAAGACTGGTTGAACTGACGAAACCTATTTGCCCTTTATAAATCAACCAAGTTTTTGTTATATAAATAAAAAACATACATGCATATACATACATACATACATAGTAAAACTATATATCTATTATAATTAGGCCCCTCTCTTATTTTTGATTGTCTCTCCACTGTTAGTGCACAACGAAAATTGAATTTGGGCCACTTAAGTGCCCAGGTGAATGCTGGTGGGGATGCTGAAGTTGAATTATACGGTAAACCTAGTAAAAGTCACAGCCACAAGACAATCAGACGCCATAGAAATATATGTACGTACACACATACATACATACATACAAATATACGTTAAAAAACCACGTCAAAAGAAAAAGCGCGCGCAAGCCACAGCCTCTTGAAGTGGAGCCAAATGCTGGGGGGGGGAGGGGCTTTTCATAGTAGCCGTGGAGGGGGATGGGGGGGGGGGGGGGGGGGGGGGGGCAGTAGGAAAACCTGGTAAACAAGTTGTTGCATGCAGCAACAGCAGCAGCAGTAGCATAAACAACAACTGCGTAGTTGCCAAGAGGGATGAGCTACAGGCGTTGGGCATGCGCATAAAAGAGATAGCAACATAAGCAGCGGACAGCGCGCAGCTGTTTGGCTTTTATTACATGTTCATATGTATGTGTGTATTTTGTATTTTGTTAATGGTGGGGGCGGGGGACAATCGAATGTTTAGAATGCATAAACAAAGCGAGAGCGGATAAGCAAAAGCGAGCCAAGCAAGCAAGGCAGACAGTGGACTAGCAACGTGTAGCGTTGTGTGTCGGGCGTGGCATTGAGCCCAGGCTGAGGCAGCGACAATGGCAGAGACTAACGTTGATGTCGACGTCGACGTCGATCGGATCGGCGCCCAGCGATGCGACGAATGCAAATTATGTCGCACGATAACGATTACGACTACGACCACGATTATGTTTTGCTGCTTGCTTTTGTGCCAAACTAAAACAAGTTTAGCGTGAGCGCGACAAGGGCGCTGGGCGCTGGGCGATGTGTGTGTGGGGGGCGAAATGCCACCACTAACACCAACAGATGTGTTAGTTTTTATAAATTCACAAACACAAACACACACACACAAAGCTTCATCTATTTTTATACACTGCACCCATTGGAAATGAATAATTCGCAGTTATACGTATGTAGGTAAACATGCAATATAAACTGACATGCAAGACTGAAAGAGCAACTGTTAGTCGACTTAGAAACTTGTGCTCTCTCTCACTCTCTCTCTCTCCTCCTGTCTATTTGAATCTCTGCGGCACATATGTAGGCACAAATAAAACATTTGTATTGCGATACTCACAATAAGCACATCGTTGTGAATGGCAAGCGCATTGGAAGCGAGCTCTGTGGGCATATTGCTGGCGTTGTCCGCATTCAGTTCCAGTGTCCAGTGATTTGTGGCGAAATTGTAGCTCCAGAGCTCCTGGAAGAGCAGACACCTGCCGCGCCGGGCGGCCGTCAGTGCACTGCGCGGATTATAGCCACCAAGCGAATAGAGGTGCGATTTCGATGCAATAATACGATGGCCACTGCGTCCCAGCGGAAAGCCACCAATGCAATGCTTATCCTTAAACTGGCACTTGATCAAACGCGCTGGCTGGAAGCTGTACATTGGTCGCGTCGACTGTGGTATAATGGGCTCAAACGGTCCCAGGCCGACGTTCGATGTGGTTGTTGACATTTCACTTTCATCGTTTGATGTGGTCCAATCGTTATCGGAATACATTTCCTCCAATTCGGGATCAGACTCATCTTCGTCGCTGACATCGTTCTCGTCGTCATCAACATCGCCCTCCTCGTCATCAATATCGATTTCGTCGTCAGCATCCTCGTTCTCTACATCGCTAGCATCCATTGGCTCGTCTGCAATAATTGCATTGATTATGGCATTCTGATCCACTTGCTGTTCCTGTTGATGTTGTTCTGGCGCTTCAGGCGCCTCGTCTTGGATTTCCTGTTCCATTACGTTGTTATTGTTATTATTGTTATTGTTATGGAGCTGGGGCTGCTCCTGGCGATTGATCGCTCGGCGACACCAATTATTGAGTAGCTTGGCGACAAATACAACGAATGTCCAAGTCCAAGTATGACGCAGCGTGTGTAAAATGATGCACTTGAGTTTGTATAGATTGAATATGTGCATAACAATTTGTATTACAACCTTAATTCAATAACGAACAATTTTTTATTATAATATTTATACTATGACACTCGCTCGGCTGTTGATCAATGAAAATAACTAAATTTTGACTGAAAATTTTTGTTCCTTATTGGGGGAGCCTAAAAACAGATCTCTCTCTCTCTCTCTTGCACAGCTGGCTGGGGCTCTCTTTCTCTCTCTCTCTCTCTCTCACTCACTTTCTATCTCTCTTTATTACTTTGCTGATGCTATTGTTGTTGTTGTCGTTGCTGTCATGTTGACGTTTTGCTCTCACTCGCGCTCACACATGTTACGTTATGTATATATAGGTATGTCAGTATGTATTTTTGTATGATTGTGAATATTGAAAAATTACGCACTACCCAAACACACAATTTTTTACTATATATTTGTAAAAATCTCCAGGCAGATTGTGCTAAGAAGATCCTTAATATAGTTAGTTCGCTCTTTTTGTTCTGTTGTTGATGTTATTGCACATATGATTATGCTTAGGCACTGCACACACACGACATTTCAGCTGCAGTTCAAGTAACACAATAAACCCAAAATATATCGAAAGACAGATTGCGTTCTAAATTTGACCCCAAAAATACCAACATATTGATATTATAGTCAAAAAGCTGCTAACTTGTTTTTTAATGTTCACACAATGTTATTTGCTCCTGATATGATGGCTCATAGGTTTCTACAGAAGTTCCTACAGTATTAACAAAAACAATAAATAATAAACAATTAATTACGTTATACTTAATTTATAAACATAAATGTAACAATATACTGTGTAATTTATTCTGATAACTCGATAGTTTAGCATTAGGTAATGAACTAGCTCAATAGCTTAAAAAAAATAACAGATAGCTACAATAGACAATATATATACTCAAAAAAATGTATATTAAATGGTGATGGTATTGCAAAGACCTAAGATGTTTTATTTATTACAAATGGTAGATTATACTTTAGATTTTTTCTTTCGCATTTTTTGTTATTACAAAACAATAACTAGGATCGTTACTGATTGTTATGAACACTTATCGATAGCAGGAATCTAATTTTATTTGTAAGGGTGCTCACGAGCTGTTAGTTAACATTAAAGTAACAGACGTTTCGGCGTATAAAGTGTGCTAGTGCTTTTCGAGTTAGATTAGTTTTGCTTTAAATCGAAAACACGCAAGATGATGTTCTATCACAGAATTTCTAAACTTTGATATCTATAAATTCGGATGTGGTTTATTACGAATTCACAGTTGTCTGACCACGAGGTCGTCGGGTGTCGTCCTATCCAAGCCAACTCGCTTAGTATAAATAGTCGACAATAAAAGGAAAATTGGCACATTGAATTGTTTCTGTAATGCCCGCGTCTTTTCTGAACCATTAGACATGCCCAACAGCACAATATTCAGAGGATTTCTAACTGTCAACAAGTAACAGCGGTAATAAAGCAAATTCAACTAAATTTATTGACTGAAACAAGAACGCAATTGCTTCATTCTATACGAAAAAAATTTGTACGTATTGCGATGATTTTGCAGTCCACAGAGGCCATCTGCACTCTAACCTAAAAGCACGTGTACTCAAACGGTGAGCGTGCAAGTGAGAGAGAAAGTGAAGAGTACGGTGGAAAGTACAGCAAGGATTCACACTCACTTGGATTCATTTGACGTGAACAGCTGTTGCTGTTGCGCCCTTTCAGCATGGCAACAACAGCCGACCAAGTGATGGCACCTGCCCTGGTCCCGACCACCAATGGACAACAATCGAAGCTGAGTGTCGGACCTATATTGCAACCGAACGGCACGACCTTAAACTCAGAATCCAATCCAAAAAAGAAAAAAGAGCAGAAACAGCATCAATCGGAGAGCATCGTAAAAGCACCTTCTCTCAAGCTAAATGAAATGTCCAATCTAAAAACGAAATTGGGATCTGTGCCCAGCGCAAAGGAAACTCGGGTCTATAAAATTGTCCTAACTGGCGGTAAGTGAAAACCTTTATATGTACATATGTATATATAAATATTTTCTGTATCTGTGGCTGTATCTGTTTGTTTACTATATGTGCACATATAAATATGTATGTCAAGGTCGCCAGGACCCTGCTGTTGGGGTAGTTTCTTTCAATTCGCCTGCGCAGCTACCCACACCATAGAGTCAAAAGTTGCTTCACTTTTTTAAAATTTCAATTAGCGGTTTCATTTTTTTAATATGTTAATGCAGCGATTTATTAAACTAGTTTATGGCTTCTGTGTGTTCTACCGGGGTTTTTTTTCCTTCTTTTTACAATTTACATATGTTAATCTCGACTTCACAAAAGCGCGCCAAAAAAAACCCCGTTTGTAGTGCCACGAGAGCAAAAACAGTTATCAAAAAAAAATTGGCGCGTGGGGCGATCAATCAATTAATTTGGCTCATAATAGTTTTGATTAAACATACTTACATTATATAGGTATAAAGGTGATTGTTTACTTATACATATATATGGCCTCGCTCGTATCATTTTTTTTGTCTAATAAAATACAAAAAATAAATAGTGAAAACTTTTAAGCTAACGAACAGCTGTTTATTTAAAAAAAAAAACCGCTTACGTCAAATGTGAAATAACGTTAACTTATCTGGTAAAAAAAGTACCAGCTTTAGACAATCTTCAAAAGCTCTATTGCAAAACATTTAATAAAACAGAAGACATTAAATAGTCGACATTCAAAATTTCAGATACATTTACGTAAATATGAACTATTTGATAATTGAAGTTAACTATCGATAGCAACACAAAGATAGCTCCCGCTCATATTGTTTATGTAAATGTAAATCTGTTTGCAGTCTTAAGCCTGGCTGTACGCAATATCGATAGCTGAAAAGATAGACGAGAATTGTTTAAATTAGTTCAAATTGTAATCGATATTTAAGTCCTTTCTTTATGTAAATTTATACATTTTATAGTTAAACTTGTCGACAGGGTTCAAGACTCATCAATGAGTCCAATTCGCAATCTGTATCGCCCAGAAATTCCTATAGTTCAAATCAATTGAAATTTACATTTAATTTCCTCATCGCTGCGCACAGGCGACAGATGCAACAATTTTAATTGTACAGTCAGGGCCAGTCAGTCTAGGCAATAATAATTGAGACGAAAGCTTTTCAAGTGCATTAATTCACGTTTTTTGTTGTTAATATTATTTTATTCGACAGGTCCATGCGGTGGAAAAACCACTGGCCAGAGTCGTCTATGCACGTTCTTTGAGAATCTGGGATGGAAGGTGAGTTTCGGTCAGCTAAAAAAAAAAATTTTTTTAGCTATAAGGCTAAATACTAAACAAAAAAAAAAAAAAAAAAAAAAACGTATATACTGGGCTTTTACCTGCGGCAGTTGTAAGTACTGTTTAATGGTATACATATATAAAAAACAAAAACACATATATATATATATATATTATATATGTGTTTCGTTGTTATCATGCTATGAAAAAAAAAAAAAAAAAATTGCAAAAAAAAGGTTTAAAAATCTATAAAAAAAAAAAAAAATACGAAATCGCTACCGAAACAAAGCAATGAGCATGTTAAATATTTTCAGGTATTCCGCGTGCCTGAAACGGCTACAGTTCTACTCAGGTAAATGCATCAATCAACACAAACGAACCAAAACAAAAAAAAAATAAAATAAATTATTTAGATAAAAAAAAATAAATAATGTAAAAGAATACAGGCAGAGTGGAATAGCTGAATAGTCCAAACGGCAGTTATATGAGCGCACTCTCAAATATCTTTGAAATAGATATATTTATGACCGTGTCTGTTCGAGCTGTCCCCCTTTGCTTATATTTATTTGTTTGTGCGGCATTCAAGAAGTAAATGATTTGATTTGATTGCGTTCCTTAACTATTGTCTTGCATAAAATATACGTATATAGTACAATACTAAAATATATAATACAAAAATATATATATTCACTATAATCTCTATCTCAAACTTCCCTTTCTTTGAAACTTCTCTCTTTTAAATAAACAAAAAAATAAATAAATTTAAAAAATAACATCAAATTTCATGTAGCCTTTACACGAGTAGTGTCTATTCTTGAGACATCAAAGATTTTAGTTTACTCATCCTTCTATTTATCTCTTTTATCTCTCCCCTTTACTAAAAACTCTAGCGGAGGCGTCAAGTTCTCAGATCTAACCGAAGATGAGGGTAAGTTCTAATAGAAGAAACGAGCAGATTCGAGACTTTACCTTTGCAAGCATATTCCATATCTAAAAAAAACCAACAAAACTCTCACAAACAAACTTTTAATCTGTAATACAAGTCTAAAGACATTGCTAGATTTAGATAAGTTTAGCTTTTGCTATTTTGACTTTTAAGATATTTATGTGGTCATATAATGAGAACTCGAGAATTTTCAATGTCTGCATTTGTCTTTTGGGAGAATTGTCAAGTTCGTTTTTTTGAGCACAAAAATAAAACAAAAATATTTACTTGAAAAGCACAGAGGAACACATGCGACTATATGCTTTATATCTATATATATTTATATGTATGTATATGTATATGTATATGTTTGTATATGCATATATATTTATATATCTATATACATTGAGTCTTATATCTGTGTTTATATTTGTGTACAGCCTCCCACAAAGCGTATTTCTTGAATATCTACAGCAACAGCGACTAGCTTAGCTGCCAACAAGAAAGTATATACTCTATAACATAGAGATAACATATAGAGAATATAGTCTATACAGAGAATATAATTTCTATACTCTATAATATATGCTGTATAACTTATAAGCAATATAGTCACATTTTCCATAGATAATTTACTATACATATTATACATGCTCGATGTACTATACAGTCTATATACTCTATGTGTGCTATATAGTATATGTCCTAAATACGAGGTAGTCTCTGTACTCTATATGTTTTTCGTTTTTGTTGTCAATTTGTGGGCATCACTGTCCGCCCCCTTTTTGAATGTCACGTCTTCAGTAAAGGTTCGTTTATGTAATTTGCTTCAACGTTATTCAAAAGAGACAAAGGAAAATGTATATATATATAATCGTGTACCTCAAATAGTCGATAAATAATGTCCATGAATCCTTAAGAATTTGCGTGTCTAGATGTCGTTTGTATACCGATTTCCAAAACTAATTTGTCAATTGCGTACTTAAGTGGGACGGGACTTTTTTTTCGTATACTCTGTAAAAGACGCAAACTAGTAAAGATTTGCTATAGAGGTCTATAGAGACTGGCCGTATTCTTATATAGTGCTGTTTAGCTTATGAAAGTTAAGTTCAAGGAGCTATTAGAGAATGAACATTAACACTTTTAAAATATTTCTGTATTAAGATGTATAGAATCAATATAGGTTATACTAAGTATCCAGGATACGATTGCTAGTTTTCTATATTCATAGTTTTCTATATTGCGTATAAGCAAACTATAATAAAACTATATGTATTACTTCTATATATTTGCATATATAATAGAAGACTTTCGAATATCTATAATAGAGTTAAAGCGAACAGGGTATCTTCCCAGTCAAGCACCGCCAGCTAACTCAATCGTTTTTGTTGCTTGCAGTACCAAGCAACAACGTAAGCTCTTAATGAGTTAATGGCCTGACTTATAAAGTTATAAATAAATAAATAAAAAAATATAAGAAGTATTAATCTGCTTTTGGTCACGAGTGCAGAAATCACTTGACAAGCGATCGAAATGTTTATATAATACATTTTTAGACTATGCACAGGATTGGATTGTTGGCTTAAATAAATATATTATTTTTTGCTTTTTTTTTTTTTATTATTATTATTATTAATTTTGATATCGCGACATTCTATCGCAAACACCAAAAAACACCCGCACACAGACCCGCTCACGCCAAGCACCTTCGTTCACAAAGAGCTGCCTTTTGCTGCACCGGAGCACAGCATGATCGATCTGACTGCATCCTGTCCACGTTGCCTGGCCAATGCTGCCTCCAAACCCTATGTCAACGAAGGTGAGAGACAAAGAGAACACAAATGTTTTTTGTTCGCTAAAAAATTCTACTCTGTTGCTCTGTCAATATCAAGTGCTTGTGTGTGCGCCTGTGTGTGCGTGTTATCTTGACAACATTACTATCTTAAACAGATTTGTTGTCTATGTATATATATATACATATATATGTATATATATCACCTGTCTGGTCCGATCAACTATATCTTTAGTTGCGTTTGCAAGCAATTCTTGTTGATTTGACATCTTTTTTCCCCTCTAATGTTTATTGATTTTTGTTCTAATAAATGGAGCTTATGTAAACATTCTCATGACGTCTTTATATACACACATCACATCTCATATCATATCAAAATATTGTATAAATATATAAAACATTTGATATGATACATTTTCATGTTTATTTGTACTGCTTTGAGCTGTGTTTGTTCTCTAACAAAACCGTCAACTAATGTCTCTCTAATGTCTTTTATATATGTATATAAGTATATACATATATCATCTATAGTATATGTATAGCTTTTTTCACTTTTACAGTTTTTGAAACACAGCATTTTCGTGCGAATTTTTAAATAGGACATTTATATTTAGACGCACATCTAGTACGTAGATTTCTGCTTAGATGAAATATATGCATATTTATATATCTAGAGAACACGCTGCTTTTGTGGCCAGTTTTAGCTTCTGACTAGCACGTGCCTCTGAATAAGCGCCCATAAAATAGTTTTAATGGCTAAACCATTTTTATCGCTGAGCTGAATAAATTAGAAAAAATTAGAAATTAAATTAGAAATCTCTATACAATATAAAGTAACTGCCTTTGGCTAGCTGAAAAAATGCTTGCGAGAGTACCCCTAATATATTTATGTACGTGCATGCATACGCAGGCAGAAAGAGTGTAAAAGCCCATTTAATAAACGTTAATTGCAGCTGTTAAACGAGTAAACTAAAAACAACTCAGCGTGATCGACTAAAAGATACCCTGTATTACCTTTGGGCCAAAAAAAAAAAAAACGATACAGAAAGTACGGGCTGTTAGTAGTAAATATAAAGAAAGTATTTGACTTTTATTTGTATATAATTTACTAGGTAAAGCTATGCCCAAAATATTCTTAAATGTACGGTAGTTTGTTATGGACTTCTTATCTAATGCAAGAAAATTAAAACAAATATCGATATATTAAAACAAATTTGAGTTGCGTATATGGGAAAATATCTAGCCAATTTCTAAGACTTGCGAGATTGAATTGAACGAAGAGATAGCAAAGCAGGCGGACGAGAAGAAGAAGAAAGACGGTCGCACAGATAAGCAGGCAATTTGGATGGAAGAATATACAAACAAATAGACTATCAGACGGATAGATAAGTGGGGAGACGGATGGATGGACGGACGGACGAGTATAGATAGTGTCAAACGGATAGATGGGCGGGCAGATGGACGCACAGACAGTTAAGTGAATAAATAGACCAGAGCCATATTAACAGATCTAAACAAACTCGCATATTGTTGATCCTAATCAATACAGCCGACTGCGTGTTGCATTATATTCCAGGGTATGCAAAAACAATAGACGTCAGTATAGCTTTTTTTTTTGGCCTAGGCCACCTGCTTTATTTCCCAGTTGCGCAGCAATTTTCATTTACGAATCAATTATCCAATATACTAACTCATATACATATATCTAGTACCTACACAGAGTCAAATCCCTATCAAAAATGGAATATACAGTCAACAGCATCACGTGCCAAAAAAAAGTAGAGACGATATACTACATTTGTATATGGCCACCATTCATAGCAGATATCTCTCTTGCTCACTTACACGCCTTCTCTCTCTCTCATTCTCTTCACATTTGGGCGTTAATCAATGGGTTTATTCAGTTTTGAGCTTGACTATTTTTTTTTGTCGCAGATTCAGATACTTCTGGTTCTAGTCATTTTTTTTTTTATTTATTTTTTCTTTCGCTTTTTTTTTTTTTTTTTTTTTTTGATTGCTTAAATTGATAGCCAAATGAATTTGTTTATCAATTCAATTCTATTTGGACGTTAGCCATCAACTTTGCATATGCTTTGCACTTTTATTGGTTATTCAAATGTAACCAAGCTAATTATATAATTATATATGTAGCGCCAAAGAAACTAGTTTCCAAAATAAAAAAAATTAAAGAAAAGAATTCTAAAGAAATTTAGAATAGCTTAGGCTATGGCGTAGTATAATGAGTCGCTATATGTATGTACGTATATTTGTATAAATATACACATATATATATCTATGAGTACTACCATTTGTATTTGGCTATTTACATCAGTTGCTTATATCATCGTTTGCTAATTGAATTAGCTGAAAACAAAAGCAAAATTGCACGAAAAACCAAACGCCCACCCGATGCCCCCCATTTTCCGTTTGTTTTGTTTCATTCAAGCAGTCCATGCTCATCAATGCTATCGATTGATTTCGTTCTGTTCCGCATTATGCATGCAACGTTCCCAGGTCAAGTTCAATGCAAAAGGAATCTGACTTTTCAATGTCACTTCACGAACGAGCGCAACAAGTGTCAACTGAGAGGGGGCGTGGCAATGATATTGTTTTATCTCGATTGTTTAATACCCTCTGACTTATGCTTGGTAACAGTATATTCATAGTGAATTACTCATTTTATATGGTATCTATAACATTGTGAGTCACGTGGTAATGATAGTGCATGACTCTGTATTTATATATATATATATATGACCTACCATTGGGGTGTATATGCTGACTGAGAAGCTGCAAAAGTGTGCATGCTTTATTTGTATTATGTACGTGTGAGACATTTCTTTTTCAAGGTCGAGATGTTTTATATACTACGCTTTATTGCTATTTATTTCTAGCCCTCTAAATAGCTTTTCACAATTTACTGTAAATAGGAAATGCATAGACATACATATACACAGATATATATATAT